ATAACATGAAAAAAATACAAGCAATCAGCTTAAAGTACAACAATTGGCTGACTGTTTAACTCTTTCAACTCAGGCTTGGTCCCTGGGACTGACCTCGTAACCATTTTGTGCTTGTTATAGTTTTCTTGCTATAACTTTTAAATTAGTAAGCATATGTTAACAAAATTTAGAAGATTATCAGTAAACATTACAATGCTTTCATATGCAAAATATCAGATTTTTGTATTAAGTCGTAAGGTTTGTTAAGCAATCTTTTTCTCATGCCTTTTTCTTTTCGCATGTTGCCTGTTAAACATGTAAAATAATATTCATTTTAAGATTAAAAATACTTTTATACATTAGAAAATTTTCAAATTTTCACATGCAAAATCCTTATAATGTCCAGATAGTTATCAAATGTTTCTTAAGAAAAAACATTATATTTTATCTGCAATTTCTATTAATGAATGTCTATATGGGTTTAGTTGATTTGACCAATTTTGTAACCACCATAAAAAATTATAACACGAAAACGTAAATGTTTAGACTAAATAGCTTACATCTCATTACATTATACATTTATATGTATTTATTATACTGACCTTTCAGCCATGCCTGGCTAACAATACAGAAGTTACAATGATGTGGCACATGTGCTCTCATGTTACCATATCCAATAATATAAAACTAACCTTTAGTCTTTACAAAGTGACCTGTCTTGGCTGTGTTTTAGTAGACTAGTATTTTGTGAAATACAGTTAGATTTCCATTATTATACATTATATATGTATATAGATCATTACTATTTAGAAATAAGTTCTAAAACTTATTTTTCTTAAAACATAGAACAGTAAGTAAAGAAGTAAAGCAAACAATTATCTCTTCTAATTATGACCTTTGTACTCAGTTGCTGCTTGACATAGGTTGCTAAGCCTTTTAAAATTTTGCATGTGGAGGATATGAAACAAAATAATTTTTTTAGGTTTTATATATACAGTGGAATAAACAAAAAATCATAAATTACTATATCAATATCACAGAATTCCATTATAATTTATCAAGCTTAGTAACTAAGCTGTATTTGGGTCTAAAAAATATGAAATTTCAAACAGACTAAAGACACAACCTATCTCCTTGAAATCGCAAGATGGTGTCCTAACACATGAAAATGGCTTAGAAAGCTACTAGGGGAACATTCTGAGCTATCGATTGGTTATTGCCATGTCATATATTGAAGTAAGTGTATATAAGGGACCGTTTCCAAAAATGAAAAGAAGGGAGTGGGGCCAGTGTTTTATTCAGTACATGAGTGATATTTCAGCAAATAGAAAAGATATGAGGTTCTTATTTTATATTCTAGCTTGTCAATATCAGTAATTTGAGTTTATAATTCATATGAAACTATAGACTTAGTATTTCAACATCACAAACATCTAATCTGAACCAGTGCTGCATTCAACATACCATGTGATGCACAAAAATCAATGTTTAACTGCATTTTTTTAATATTTACTTTGAAATTAAGATATTGAATAATGTATAATACTAAAATTTTAATTATAATCTACAATTTGATACCAAACTTATTGACATAAAATAGTAGTTCAATAAATTTTTAATGCAAGCCAACAAATGGGATGGCATGGCCTTTGACCTGTGACCCACCTTGAAAGGGTTAAAATAAGGCTTGATAAATATTTGAATGATAGGGACTGGCTTTGAGTGTTTTATTTTTATTTTAAAATTTCATTTAGTGGATGAGATGGCCTAGATGGTTCAACAGATCACTTGTATATGTATGTGTACGTACATATTATAAATTATTGAATTCTTTTTACCACCAAGGGATTAATATTTACATGATTCAGATTAATCCCAATATTACCTATAGAATGCTAAGGGTCAGGAATATTGCTAAAATTCTCTACTGATAAGTACTTGAATGATAAGGGTGGCTCTGAGTTTGTGTTTAGATGGCCCAGATGGACCAAACTTGTTGTCCTTTAATGTTATGTTAAAGACGGAAAAGAACATTTAAAAGCATAGCCATCTCACAATCTTCAACAAAAACCTTGTTGCCAGTATTTTTTAGAGACCCAATCCTCCTTTTAATATTCTGTTTAATTTTAACATACATAAAAGATCATTGTTGTTAGCCTTATTATCACCAACTGTTTCTCATAAGCTCTTTTGGACTTTCTAATGTCCTTATTAACAAATTCCTAGCATTTCTGTACTTCTGTATGTCTTTCATACTATATTTCAATTCAAACTTCTTAAACTAATTGCATTTAATCTTTATTTTGTTCCTAAGGTTTTAAGTAAGTCATTCAGCTATTTTCCATATCAAGTTTTAATTCAATTTTTCCAATTCACTAATAATAACTGCTGTCTCATCGCTTCAAATTGCCTTTTGGAAAATTAGGAACCAAAATTTCATTTTTTTTATCTCAATATACAGCAAAACATCAAACTTGATTATACAATGATCACATTCCCCATACATACATATATAGTACCATTTCAACTATCGCAACTACATCCTCATTAGTAGTTAACAAATCTAAGATTAGGGGGTTTCGGTGATTTTTAAATAATGAAAATAAAAAATTTCTCACACACCACTGGATTCCACAGACAGAAATTAGTGGAATTACACTGCAAGTTCAATTAATTAATTAAAAATTAATGAAAAACAATTAAAATCAAACCTGGAAATCAACCTTTTGCTCCAAGGTACCTTTGCACTGGAACAACGTTAACAAAATGTTCGTGATTTTTTGTTTTCCCTGGTAACCTGATACTGCATGACATATGTGTAAAGGCAAGAGAAAATGTAATCCTAAGAAAATCGATCAATGTCAATGGATAATATAAATGAACATTTGCAACAACCAAATGTAAGAAATGAAGTATGTACATATGAAAGTCAAGATTTTTTAGTGATGCTGGTTGAAAACTTGAAATATCATGATTTACACATACATACGAGTAATAAATTCCACTTGTTCTATGTCATGTATTGTTGTAATTGATAAATTGTATCATTAAGTTCAAGATATTAGTTATTCTAAGATATAATTGTAATACAAAAGCTAACGAAACAAGCATTTGTGTATGAATTATCAATGAAATTGGTAATAAGTGCAGATATACTATGATATTATTTGAGGAATGTTAGTAGCAAAGGTAGCTTATTCAGAGAATAATTATTGGTAAAAATCAGCTAGATTAACAACTTCTAATATATAGAAAAACCAGTGCGTATTGGTAACACTACATTCCAACATTTTGTCTGCTATTCAATATTGCTTTCATTATGAGGAATGGACATGTTTCAATTTTAAGATATTATATTGATGTAATTATATTAATTTTTAAAGCACAGGTGAAAAACTATTTTGAAGACTGTGTTGTCCTTGCTCCACTAAAGTTGTTTGTTCACAAATACGCATGGAATGCATTACAGTTATAGCCTGTATTTGGTTTTGTGAGGAACTTCATTTCCATTTAATACAGATATTGATTGCATAACTAAGTTAGCGTTGTGATTTCTAGTTATTGAACATTTATACATATATATATATAAATCATACACTTATTTAATACACAAACAAGACTGCCATTGTTCATACCATTTTTATTATAGACAATTGCTGCACACATTCTTTCACTGTAGCCACACTCAATGATATGATGTAGAGCAAACTGTTGTTAGGACAACAGTCTGCTTACGACCGATATAACATAAAGCAACATTTGCCAGGGTAACCAATAGGTTGTTTACAATCCACATGCTATTGGTTCAATTTCAGCATATATATATATATCTATGTATCGGTTTATGGATTATGTAGTCTGGAACATCAAGTTTATTGTATGCCCTTCTTTCAATCAATTCAATGGCTAAATAGAATTTTAAATGGATTTAAAGTTTTATATGTGTGCCAGATCAAAGTAGAACACGAAGTGAGCTAACGTTTGATGTGCCACTGGTCCTTATTGTTCTAGACAATTCGAACCAACACAATGTTTTTGATTTTAACATTCGCTTGCTGATCAATGGCAGATGATAGCTTTAGCGATAATCATGTTAGTTTTTAAAGTTGATTTCAAACTAGTGGGAGTATGGTTGCTTTGAAATATATCATGCCAATTCAGCATGTATTAGTAATGTAGATGTTTTGCATTTGTTGTTGGTGTACAATCATTCATATTTTATTTATATGAGCTTTATATATTCACAACTGTGATTTGGAATTCGCAAGCTTCCGAGTCTGGGAACTATAATTCTCTGGGACTTCCTACTAGGATTGTATCCCTTCTCGTTGGCTCACTGGTATATAAACACTTTCTGAATTATTTCAAGAAACCTCTGTCCCTCACTACTTGACTTAATACATCCAAATCAATTTATGTAAATGCAAGTTATAATTATTTTATCAGTATCCTTATTAATAATAACCCTGATCTCAATATATACTTTTTCAATATCATCTGTCTGATCAGATGGCCTATACAAATTACCAATTAAAAACTTATCCGTGAAACTTCTGTTATTTATTAAAATAAAAGTGATTAATTAATCTTTTATGGAAAATTTTAAAAAGTCTATATAAGACAAAAATACCTCTTCCTAAACCAAGCCAGCACAACATATATTAAAATTTTCATGACAGTATTAAAATTATTCCTAACAGTAGATTACAACACCAGTGAACATGTCACATGAAAAAATCAACTTGTTAGTTTTTGATGGGGACATATAAAATGACTCTTTCAAGATTAAACATGTTAAGTAACAACCTAAAAAATGATCACAATATGGATATACACACTTTAAAGTTTTTTGCAAACTAAAAATAAGTAGTATTATTGAATTATTCCAACATACTCAAAAACAAAACCAAGAAATTGGTATAAAATGAAACTAATATTGATTTTTAAACAATTTATTTATTTAAAATGGTAATTTTATAAAAAAATATTAACCATAATACTTGGACATTTAATTTTCTTACCATAATTCCCATTTTTTGTAGAAATATTCTTTTTCATACTGGTATGTTTGTTGACCTCTGAAGAAAAGCTTGTAGCATATAATGAACTATCTTGTCTACTCTGATTTGGAGTTAGTTTTTGTCTGTCAAAATCAACATCAGAATCTGAAGAATCAACATCATAAGATGTATCTAGCACTGAATCTGATCCAACTGACCCATTTAAATTCTTCAAGCCATGTCTAGTAAGATCACTTGCACAAGATCTACTTAAATGTTTTTTCCGAGATAAACTTTTCTTTGAATTCAAAGGCACAGGACCTGGTATCTTAAAATCATTTTCATCCATGTGTTTATTTAAGCTCAATGGTAGTTTTTTGGGAGAATTCTTTAAATTTGAAACATAATTATCACTCATATTTTTTGTAGAAACTCTCTTTCTTCCACTTCTTACAGTTTTGTTTGCAGTTGAATCAAGTTCACTTTCATCAGAGCTGAATCCACCAAGTTTTTTAGAGTTAACACTTTTTGATATACTTCTTTTTCGAAGATTTTTTTTCTGATCATTCAAAAGGTTATTCAGTTTTTTCTGCCACAAATAACGAGTGGAATCTGTTATGGGTCCAACATCTTCACCCAACTCTTTCAGTTTATGACGAAGTTCTGTGTCTGATATTTTGGAAGCCATTTTAAATAGGTAATACAATTAACCTTAATTGCAGTACTTCATAAGCTTGTAGCCTTCACAATTTAGTAATTAGCTGAAATTAAAAGTTTGGTAGTTTTCTTCAGTAACAGGTGTTTTTATATATTTGTAGTAAGCTCTAATCCACTAAAAAGTAACACTGCATTCAAAATAATATAGAATTATTTGTATTTGTGCTTGTTATGTAATGTTTTTTTCCCACTTTAAAGTAATACAGACCTACATGTAATCGCCTTTATAAGGTAAATGTTGAGTTTTTTACCTGCTCTTTCGTGTTGTACTTTTGTTTCAGTCTGTTGAGAATCTCAAAACACAATACCATGATTACCAATAACTGAACTAGTAGTCAGTACGGAATATGGCTGTCGTAATTCAACTTATCTTAATGATAAGCATAGAAATTAATGAATAATATGCAACCAAATTACAATTTACAGTATTCGGTGTTAATACTAAGAGTAAGCCTAATAAAAATAACAAGTCTCTCGACTGCTTACGAAGTTAGTCACCTACCGCTTCTCGTTAAAACTTTAAAAAGCTTAATAAGTATACTACTGCTGATGATAAACTGATAATATTATCATATTTGATCGACTAATGTTAGGCCTAGCTGTAAATGTAACTCTCATTACAATTTACATTTTCTTCACTTTACTATTCTCAGAGCCTTATAGTATACTATAGACTAGGTTAGTGATATGTTTGATCTATTTCTAATATTTTACTATTAAAAACTGCTAAGAAGTAGCCTCTCTTTCTTTCAAAATGTTTTTTGCCAATCCCTCACAATATTTTCGCAATTCTATTCTATCAGTCAGTAACAGATATTCAGACGTAGTAATATACCATACAAATTACGAATTCTACGGACAGAGCGAATCCTGGCTAACGCTTTATCTCAGCGCCATCTCATATTTTAATCTATTTCTAATTTAACATTTAAAGATCAAAATAAAAACTAATAAGAATAAATAAGAAGCGCAAAGAAAATTTATATTACAGTAGACCCTTAAAAACCAATTAAATAAATCAAACTGACAGAGTACATATGCACCGGATCAACTTTTTTTTTTCGTAACTAGCTTCTTAGCTGCAAAGTCTGTTGAGAAAAAATATTTTTCAACTGGTAGTATACCTTTTAAAAGTTTAAAGATTACAGACTTAAGGATTTGTTTGTTTGTAGTTAAGCACTAAGCTACACAATATGCTACCTGTGCTGTGCCAATCACGGGTATCAAAACCAGGTTTCTAGCATTATAAGTCTACAGACTTACTGCTGGGGGGGGGGGCAGGCTTAAAGAAAAAAAGAAAACAATAGCAGATAGTCCTTTGTGCAGTTTTGTGCTTAACATAATATAACACAATGTTTAGGAACAACAAGGGATCTATTGGTCCATCTTGGTCGTCCCATCTCATATACTAAACTATTAAATAAATGAATTAAAAATAAATAAAATGAAAATATTAAAACCAGCTCTTATCATTCATATAGTTATCAAGCTTTCTCTTAAACTCACATAAATTTATTGCCTCTCCAACACCCGAAGGCAACCCAATCTAGAGGCCAAAATTTATATTTTTGTTCCCTAGTTCTACTGCCCCCCACTGGCACAGCGGTATGTCTGCAGACTTACAACACTAGAAACCTGGTTTCTATATCTGTGGTGGGCAGAGCACAGGTAGCTCACCGTGTAGCTTTGTGCTTAACGTCAAACAAACAAATCTAGTCTTACTACTCTCGCTGTTAAGTATGAAAAAAAAATGATGCATCGACACTATCAATTTCATTTACAATCTCGAATATCTCAATCAGATCCAAAGTACAAACAAACAAAAAATTACTTTCTATATTAAAAAAAATCAAGTACCTAGTATTTTAATTCTATAAATATGACTTACACAACAAATACGATTTAATGTTGGAAAATAACATTCACCATTATATCTAATCAAATATCAGCAAGACTTAAAAAACTAGGTCTTTAAGCAGCATTTACTTTTTGGATTTATTCTTCTTCAAAATATTCATTAGAAACTTAATGGGTTTTATGGTACTTTGCATTTGATTTTACAGCTTAATCAGAAAATAGTATCAACGACATTAGAGCTCTATATGTAGTACACCGGTCTGTGGCGGAATAATTTAGAATTAGGAATTCACTAATTATTGCTGGGGTACCCTTTGTATCTTACATAATTAATGAAAGAAAACACCTAGTGTTTTTGGCCATTTCTTTACAAGGCTCGAGCGTGGCGTACTGGTTAGCATCTTGGACTGGGGATCCGGGGTTCAGTACGGGGCACTAATAATCATACTTCACACTTCTAGTTGAGGTTACATTGTAAGAGTGACAGTCATTCCTGCTATTCGAATAACAGTAGCTGTATTCGTCTCGTTGTCTTCCCTTTGAATAATATTTCACAATTAAAGACGATTATGTTCTAGCTATAGGAGTCTCAAGCCAGATAATTTAGCTCATGGGACATTGCACGCATAAACTGTCGTTCAGGTGATCACATAGACAATTCTTTTCACCCAGTGTTGTAACAGGCGAAAACATAAAATGACTCAATATAGAGGAATATGTGAATTTAACCAGTTATTTGAGCATGCAACGTTTGGTTGGTATTCTGGAAATGTTGATAGTATATGTAATTAAATATTCTTTTAAAAAAAAAAGATGTAGATAGTTGATAACGTGCCCACATTGTGAATCTGAGGATTTATGGCTCGTGTCTGGTTGCCGCACAAACGCGCTCTGCACTTTGGGACCGTGGGTGCGTTATAAGAGTTAATGTTAATACACTTTTTAATCAACAACTTTAAACATTCATAAAATCATGTTTTTGTTTATGAGCACGTGTATCTATACTGATACTGGCTATACGAAATGTTTGGTCATTTTTATCTTTATTACCATAAAGTTGGCCTTTCCAGTTGGAAGCTGCAAAGCCAAGTGTCCGAAATTACGTATGCGCAACAACACAATTCAAACACTTACATAGATAATTATTCAATCAAGTGCAGTCTGATTTCTGGACAGAAAACTGTGTTCAATATATCAGATTCACTATCCCACGAAATGATGCCAATGTATTAGACTGAATTGGTAGCACACCATATAAAACTATTTGCAAATATGGAGTCATTATAACCTTTGATTTTTCATAAACATGCACAATTCCACTCTCTGTAGACCAATGTGGTAGGCACTTCAGTTCATTTATTGCACAAGAAAATGTGACTTACAATTTTCACAGTAAGTCGTTTCCTGGGATACAATGCCTAAACCCAGAAATGAGACAAATAATTTTCTTGGTGTATTACAAGACTAAAATCAAATCAACAATGAATCTTTCTCCTCACATCTTACTTGTCATTATTTCCCAGAAGGAATTAGATGTTAACTTGCCAATGTGATTTCGTTATTATGGGTGCTTGTTACACAGAAAAGTTGTTTAAGGCTTTTGCTGCTTCAGAGTCCACGAGAAACTCAATCTCAGATCCACGTATTATTATAATCACATACCTGGATGCCAAATCCATGGTCGTCCAAACAAGCTATCATACATACCTCTGTCCAACTCAGTTTCCTCTAGCTTAAACTAACAGGAGAAGCTGAAGTCATAGCTTACATTTGACTCTTTATATTTGCTGTAGTACTGACTAGAACAGAATCTGCATCTGCTGTCATTTTCTCACCATCTGTTCGAAAAAAGACTTTATTCCTGCTTAGATGGTACAGTCATGGCAACAGTATATAGGAAGCTCTGTTGTCTCTATGTAAAACATGATAGCTGCATCACGATACTTTTTGGTATCTGTAGCAGCACAGGTTCCAGTCAACACTTTAGTCAATCCTTATGGGCCGTTTCAGACCCTTGAGATTGTTTTGAAGCTGAATTAGTCAGTGCTTCAGTGTCCAGTTTGATTTGACTACTTCGAACCACGTCAACACAGAGACAGCCTCTGTGAGAGATAAAGGCTCTGATCATCCTTATAAATTTATCGATAGGACACTCATAATAATCAGCAAATGACAAGCTTTCGAAGGCCTTCCTGTGCAAGATCCTCAGGTTTATTCTGCAAATGATTAATCTGTCAAGGGGCACACTCTTTTGAAGCTTGAACTCAGTTCTATACATCACGTAGTTCTTTGCCTGGCTGTATCTGTGACGCATCAACACTAACGACCATGTCCCAGTCATTCAGTTACTCCTCATTCACATGTTCTAGGGTATTGAATATTAAAACATCCAAACTTAGTATCAGATGTTACATAATCCGTCCCTGAGTATAACCATCCCAGAAAAATAACCTTTTTCAAACGTTTGAAGAAATGACCTTCTTTACTATCTTTCAACATAGTTGGGCTAATCTGCTTCACCGTTTTGAAATGTTAGTGCAAACAAGTATAATGTACAGAGAGAGTGATGGGCTAAATTGTAGAGTGTGATGAGTAGTGAGTTTGGTAAACTTAGCCTGGAGTAGAAATGTATTATCTAAGATATCGAGATTGAAGTGATTACCTGTATGATTAACTTAATCATTAAAAGTTCTGATTTAGATGGGGAACCGAATTTGATTCACTGACTGAAGTGAATCAATGGCCTGTAAAGAATTAAGTTTAATGAACTTACATGTTAGAAGCAGTTATTTATGTAATATAGCATATTTGATGGAATTATTCCTGTTGAATATATAATGAATAATATATAATAGGGTAGAGCGACAAGTTGTTTTTGTCTCATATCAAATTCTACACGGGCATGATAGTTGTATATGTATGCTTATAATAAATTTATAAAATATTATTCAGTTTTATATTCGTTTACTGATTTCACAAGATGTCTGACGTTTCCGATACTTATGCCTAGAAATTAATGTTCTGACATAGTTACTAGTCTTGCATAGTTACTAGTAATATTCAGTCAGTTGTTAGCATTCTTCATGGTTAGGAAGTAATGTCCTGACATGCAATCCTTTTTTCATGGGTAGTTAGCTATAGAAATGTATTGTTGATAACCTTTCTTGAGCTAGTAGCTACTGCGTGGATGCAGTGCATTTTATGAGTCAATGTTGTGAGTAAGACGTGATTTGAAGATGAATTGTAACCCTGATGTAGTGCTATATTTCTTTCCCCCTTCCTTTATTACAGCGTTCATCATGAGTTTGACAAGGTAAGCTAAAAATAAACATTTGTTGGCGTTTTTACAGGTATCAGGATTTCATGCACGACCATTACAAATCAATGATCTACCAACCACTACAGATGTTATTTCACACTATCAGCATATAAAACTAAAACTGAAACCATTAGCATCAGATGCTGAACCAAAGATAGTTGAAATACCTGAGAAAATTGATCCCGATGTAGAAGACCTATGGAAAAAAGATTCAATTCCAACCATTTCTCATAATAGCTTGATGAGGAAAATATGAAAGTGTCATGACAAATATCAGGCATTGATGAAATCATTAAGAGAGTTGGAACACCTACCTTTGATTTTAAATGGCAGAACTTTCTCAAGGAAACAATGACATTGTATGATATAGCTGCTTGTCAGTGCATTTTAACACATAACAATAATGACATATTTGATTCAATGGTTTATTTCTCGAAAAAAGTGACGTTAATACAGACACTCTTATCGCTGACAGTACAGTGACAAATACTGGGCTTAGAGGTGGTGTGCTTAGACTCCTAAAAAACTGTTTGGGATGGTTTCCACAACGCATGGTATGAGTGCTGCACATGAACGAACTTCCTCTTTGCCATCTTTTCCAAAACCTCGATGACTGCACAATTAAACCAGATGTAATCACTGGAGAAATTGGTAAAGCAATGGCTACATGCGAACACTACTGTATTG